TTACAAATGCATGCCTGGCAAGTGCACGCATATAAATGCCGACGCTCATCATGGATTTATACGGCGCCGAGCATGCGTTTGAGTCCGCTTGGCCAAGTAGCGTTTGTACCTGTCTACTTCCAAGCATGTAAGTGTATTCTAAGAAGACAGCCCGGTTTGTTGTATGGTCGTGTCCGTGTCCACGGCTTCCTGCGGCCCAGCCCGCCGCGAGGACTGTGAGACTCGCCCGGCGTTGGCCGCACGTTTTGGCTGGCCGGTTTCTGAAGTCCGCCTTGCTTGCAGGTTCCGTGAAGGCGGAGGACCTGGAGGCGCCTGGAGGACGCGACTGCGGAGCGGACGAGGACGCCGGCCCTGCGGACCAAGGTGGGTGGAGTGGCGACGCGTCGTGGACCGCCGCGGCGGGCGGAGCGCTGGCACACTGGCCTGCACGCCGACTTAATCAACCCAGTTCTCTGCACCTATTTGCCGTTTCAGTTTGAACTATGTTGTGCTCTTTTCTTCTCGGCGTGCTCGGCGCCCAAACGGCTAATTTTGCTGCAAATTAATCAAAGTTATTGCCCGGCCGAGGGGCAGTGGCTGTTGAAACAGTCACCACGCTCAACTCGCGGCTGTTTTCTCCCCTCCATTTTATAGGTTTCCCTCTATTTCTGATTTTGATCTTCGGTTGATCATTTACTTGTAGCAAGAGGCGTGTAGCACAGACAGTCAAATCCGACGCGTCCTAAGAATAATCCTGAGTAGATCTAAGACAATCCTAATTGTAGGAGCAGATCCAGGACAATATTTACTCTTTGTGTCGACTCAGAACTATCCTAACTGCACAAGACTTGAAAAACAAACTGCCTTTTCTCAAAGTCTTTGAGGCCACCATACTTTATTATAAAATAACTCGTGTAGGGGCTTGTTCCAAAGTTTCATCTTTATATAAATGCGTGGACCTTGTATTTCAGAGGTATCGAGATTAACTGATTTGAAGTGAAGATAGTTTATTGACACTTGAAGGTTCCTCTGCACTGCAGTTAAGATAGTTCTTAATCTGCACTTACAGGATTGTCCTGGATCTGCTGTGGCAGGATTGTCTTGGATCTGCTCTGACAGTTATGATCATTCCTTTGGGACGCGTCGAATCCTGTCACTGTTTGCTTCGCCCACACTGAAGATTTGAAACCTATTAACGGCCCCCCTTCCGCAACCTCAGTTTTGTCAATGTCTAATTTTAGGCGAGGTATTCTTTCTCTCTTTAATTTGGGTGAGGATCATTTTTTTCACTCAATTTGGTTCAAGGGAGGTTTTCTCACTCAATTTTGGGTGATACAACGGTTTCCACCCAAATTTGGAAGATAAAGAATGCCTCACCCAAAATTTTACTCTTGATTATGACTTTTTCAGTCTCAATGCTCTTGTTCTTCCACGTCTTACGCTTGATCGCCTTGTGTCGCTCTCCTCCAGGTGATTGCCCCGGCCCAGAGGAGACCTCGCAGCTTGACCTCACCAGCACCTTCTCCGTGGCCGATGCGGCCGACGATGCAGGGCAAGCAAAGGAGGAGTCCAAGGGGGAGCTGCAGCAGGAGCTTCAGCAGGAGCCGTCCAAGCAGGAGCCTCAGCAGAATTCTCAGCAGGGGCCTCAGCAGGAGTTGTTTCAGCAGGAGCTTCAGCAGAAGCTTCATAAGGAGCTTCAGCAGGAGCTTCAGCAAGAATCTCAGCAGGACCTTCAGCAAGAACCTCAGCGGGAGCAGCCTCAGCAGGAGCTTCAGCAAGATCCTCACCAAGAACCCCAGCGGGAGCTTCTTCAGGAGCCTCAGCAGAAACTTCAGCAGGGGCAACAGCACGAGCCACAGCACGAGCTGCACCAGCAGGAGCTTCAGCAGGAATCTGAGCAAGCCTCGCGGCCTAGGCGAGCCTTGAAGGCGGGGCCCGCATTCAAGTGCGGGGAGTGTGGCAAGCGCTTCCAAGCCAAGGCAAACCTGCGCAGTCACCTGGTGGGGCACTGCAACAAGACAAAGCGTCACGCCTGCAAAGTGTGCCAGAAGACATTTTCTTCAGCTGCTCTTCTGGAGAAACACAAAGGGACACACACTGGGGATGAGCTTCTGGAGTGCGACGTTTGTGGCAACAAGTTCGCTCGCATGGAAAGTCTCCACGAGCATGCGAGCCTCCACACCGGACGCCAGCCATTCGAGTGCCACTTGTGTGGGAAACTCTTTTATTGGATGCCAAGTTTAAATCGGCACAAACTGATCCATACTGGGGGTCGGAGTTTGACGAGAATGAAGCGTGTCCCAAAACGGTCTGTGAAGTGACTTTTCCTGTCACTGTTTCGTTGACTCAAAGTTCTGGTATTTTTCAAGCAAACTGTGATTGTTCCTTTTTTTTTTGGGGGGGGGGGGGCGCTTGTGTTTAGTGCTTAATCTAAAAATGTTTGTGTTTTTTTGGAGGGAAACATTGGACACATCTTTGTTAACATGGGGTATTACATAGTACGGGGGAACGTAGTGACCAATACCTTGCCCCATTTCCAGTTGCGTAACAGAAAGCTCTTAATTGCATGATTACTTTTCAATACATATTGCAAACAATTTTTGACAAAAACATAAAAACACATAAGATTTTCAAAAGAATTGCTCTAGTATTAGTTTGACTAACGTGTGTAAAGGTCACCTCATAATTAACGTTTAAAACAATTCTCATTTGTTAAATTTTATGCTGTGACTTGGTCCAATTTAATTTAGTTTTGGCACCAGCAGTTAAGAAGCCATTAAAATTCGAAGACACTCAAATCAAAGTCCAATCACAATAACAAGCGGTGTTTTTCCTTTTTTTTGTAATGTTTCATTTAGTTGCTTGTGATTAATAATTTGTTCAGAAAACACGTCTACCTACGATGTCGAATAGTCTAATGTCAACAATTACACCGTAATTCGTCTTTTTAAACTGTAAGTGCAAGGGCAATAAACATCCCATCCAAGAGGTGTTGTCTCATTTTTGCTGATTGCGTCAGTATGGCCTTCCCACAACACTCATTCCTTCCTTCTTTTCTCGTGTCATCAGCTAACCCAAGTTCCGCATGAAGTCTCCAGGTATTTAGCTGACAAGCATATTCCAACTAAATCATTATCGGTGATCCTGAGGCGGTTTTCTCGTCTCTGCACCGTTTTATCGCCTTTTTATACCCCCTTTTCGACCCTAAATGACTTTTTCGAATAAGAAATCTGTATTGAATACAACTGATTCTAAATCATTTACGTTGTCATCAACCATGGCTGAGTAGGGGACATTCTCATGGCATCATCAAAAACTATCGAATTTTACTGCACATATTTTTACTCCGCGTGTTCTCGACTTCGTAGCAATCTGTGCTATTCTGAAAGGTCATTAAGGATCAGTCTCGTCTCGGCACCTTTCCTTGCGCTTTCTTAACCCTCTTTGAAAATCTTTTAGCTCTTTTGTTGGTTTTTCTTAAGTTATGGGGAGTGTGACGAACCACTAGACTGAACAATTGGAGCTGAATCCGGGCCACAGGCATTTCGAATTGTGTTGAATCGACTCGGAATCACCCTGATATTCGCAGAATGAGGCTAGAGCTCCGTTCACAGGTTTTTATTATTTCGTTATTTAAAAAAATACAAAAAAGGCATTACGCCCACCACAGCACTGTGGCAGCGGCGATCACGGCGAAGGTGAGAGCAGACGTCCTGGTCGCGCCTGAACTGAAGTCAAAATTAAATTCGAGAACAGGGACCTTTCGGTTCTCGCCCATGTACTGGAAGAACCACGAAGAATCTTTGAGCGTGCGGTTCAGGCTGCCGGTCTCGTAGTCCACGTACACCAGCCCGAACTTGCGGCTGCAAAGCAAAACAATTAGTAGAAAGCTCCTTGATCATGCGACGGATTGATTTGTTCGTTACTGTGGTAAAACTGAGGCATACAACTTCGCTTGTAAAGCTTGAAGTTGAATGCAGATAAGAAATTCTCCCATGCATTAAGATAGGCGAGAGAGCAACAATTCAGAAATTAAAGTGTCATTCCAGGAACGTGACATCTCGTTTAACGAATGTGACACACAAGTCACATTCGGTTAGGTGTGAATCACCCTTAAACTAGGGGTACGCGCCGTTTAGTTTGGGCGCGTAGTAGGCGAGCGATGCGTCTGAACACATTCTTATAGGAGATGGCGAAGAATATGTGCAGAATTAGGCCAATACAGTGTCTTCCGTCACGAAAGAGCCGGAATTCATGTCATTTTCGTGATTATCTTACTGAAAACTGCAGGAAACAATGGGAAACTCAACTTCAAAATTTTGGTCCGAAATTGGTAAATATTTGGAAAAGTAAAGGTCTGGGATGAAAAAAGACTGAAGAGATAATTTCTCCCTCCCTTTCTCCTGGTGTACTGGAGGATGAGGTGTGGGAGGTAGAGGCAATCATTGACATTGGTTTAATAGACGGAGTGAAGTCATTTTCGTGATCAGCATACCATACACGGCAGGAAACTGTGAAAAACTCGACTATAGAATTTTGGTCCGAAATTGGTAAATATTTGGAAAAGTAAAGGTCTGGGATGAAATTGGAAGTCATTTTCGTGATCAGCACACCAAAAACTGCAGGAAACTATGTAAAACTCGACTCAAAAATTTTGGTCCAAAATTGGTAAATATTTGGAAAAGTAAAGGTCTAAGATGAAATTGGAAGTCATTTTCGTGATCAGCACACCAAAAACTGCAGGAAACTATGTATACCTCGACTCAAAAATTTTGGTCCGAAATTGGTAAATATTTGGAAAAGTAAAGGTCTGGGATGAAATTGGAAGTCATTTTCGTGATCAGCACACCCAAAACTGCAGGAAACTATGTAAAACTCGACTTCAAAATTTTGGTCAGAAATTGGTAAATTTTGGGAAAAGTAATGGTCTGGGATGAAATTGGAAGTCATTTTCGCAATTTCTAAGTGTGTTTTCTGTTCATTGTGTCGTAACATGAACCCTGACACTGTTACTCAGTCGAGCAACATTCAACAGCCAGCATTGAATTACTTAATACGATTCACAAATGCTTCAATTACCATTCAATATCTCCTTGTTATTGAACTTATGAATACACAATGTTATAAGTAATACCTAAAAAGCCTTTTATCTCCCTTTTATTTTAAACTAGTGGATAAAACTACATTGATTTATCTCAATTAATTAAAAAGAGACACATTTACAGGCAGGCTGATTGCAACTTCTTTATGGAGAAGACCTTCTGTCAGATCCAATGAATCGTTCTATTGAATTCAATGTCGAGCCCACTTATTCACTGAGAATGAAAGAGTCACCACCATCGCCCTTTCATTGGGTAACGCACGCACCGTTGCCCAAATTTGGGTGACGAGCCCGCGGTGACCAAATTTTGGGCAGTCATAAAATCGTCGCCCAAATTTGGGTAACGCCGTCGGCGACGCCGTAAGGTCCCCGATGACGCTCTACGGGGCCACCACGATGACCCAATTTGGCGTTGAGGCCTCCGTTCATCGTGGTGGCCCCGGAAGGACGCCATCGGGAACCTCACGGCGTCGCCGACGGCGTTACCCAAATTTGGGCGACCAAACGCCTGTTACCCAATTTCTGGTGATGAATTTTTCGTCACCAAAATTTGGGCAACGAAGTTGCATCACCCATTTAAAGGGTGATGGTGGTGACCAATTCATTCTCAGTGTTGCTAAACGCAAGTTAATCTTATTCATAATGATAGTCATGATGTGATATTTAATCTTTAAAACAGTATAACATAAGTATTTACCTAACATTCTGAATAAATTAAAAAGACAGCCAACTCAAACCATGACTGACACAAATTACCAGTTGTCGCAGACAATGTATGATGAAGTTAAAAGAATCGTCTCATGAAATCATATGACCAAGTCACTGAATCGTCTCATTGAATCAGATGTCAATGTCAAACCATGTATGCGCTACTCTCACTCACCATACAGTTATCTTTAAGGTTAGTACTATAGTAAACTTACAGCATTGCAATGAAGCCTTTCCCCAGAGTCAGTGCCAAGAGTCAGCAAAGACTATTTATTTTGGCAAGATTAGTGTCTGGTTTGTACTTTAGATTGTATTGATCTATTTTCTAACTCTTATTGAGCAAAGCAAAAAACTAAAAAGTTTAATGTCTGAGAATAAAAATGGAAATACACTCTCAAAACTTAAAAAGACCAAATCATTCTTGCAATTATCAAACGATCAAACACACTCCACTGACTAAAACATTCCCCTTGTGGCGGGGGAGGGGAGGGGGCGGACGGACGGACGAAACGCGTAATAATTGTCACTTTCATTTTCCGTATTTCACTGTGTTGACACTCCGGAGGGGTTTCAATCATTCTAGAATATCGAAAAACTAAGACCGAACTCACTTCTAAGCCCTTCTCCTCTCTATTTTGTTTTATTTGCCAATGTTTTGCCAGTCCCGTATTTGAGAGCCGCGGCCGCCAGTATGAAAAATTGCTATATATGCTGCCAACCTAACCACGCTAAGAGCCTAATTCAAAAAGATGTTTTGAATATTTCAAACGGTAGTAATCGAGAATATAAGATAAACTCCCCCTGTGGGACCTTTAGGGGATGTTCGGTGCAAAATTTGGTAACTATTAGTGTTGTAGTTGCTGAGAAACGTGAGCGTGTACGCTACAGACAGACAGACAGACAGACGCACGACCAGTCACTTTTTGGAGCGCCCAAACACGGCAAGGGCTCGCTATCGCTCGCCAACAAGGGCTCGCTATCGCTCGCCAATGAGCTTATTTAAGTACATTCAGACGAATGTAGCATATTCGGTTAGGTGTGAATCAGCCTTAAATGAGCTTATTTAAGTACATTCAGACGAATGTGGCATAATGCTCAAAGGAACGGGACATCTTTTCACATTCGTCTGAACGTGAGCTCGAGTTCCTGAGATGAGAGTGTACACGGTAAAAACAGTTTCTGGTTTTCCCTGGAACTCCCTCGAAATCGCGTATGCCTTCACCGTTGGCTTTCTGGGAAAACCAGGTTCCGTTTCTACCCAGTACGCTTGGAGCCAAGCAGCAACCACGCACTAAGCTTCAAGAAAGGCACAAAAGGACGCTTCAGTCGACCAGTAGTGTACACAGTAAATGTCTTACGGTGAAAGGCTGCACCAACATAATATGGTGGAGATTTTCCATAATATCAGCGAAATTCGTCAAAATCTCTATAAGGTACAGTGAATTCTCAATTGTATGCTACGAAGTCAGCTGCACCACCATAGTATGGAACATTTTCACCATAATATGGAGAATTTTCACTGTAGAACATTTAGAGTGTATTGGTTTAGATAGATGTGACTAAAAGTCACACCGAACTCGAGTGGCACACGTTTGATCAACAACACTGAAACTAGGGAGAGAAAAAAAAAGAAGAGTCCGTTTACCTGAAACCTGCCGACCACTCGAAACTGTCCAAAAGGCTCCACACCATGTAGCCCAACACATCGACGCCGTCTTCCCTCTGGACGCGCAGCAGCTCTTGCAGATAGACCTGTAATTAAGCCATTTGACTAAGCCAATGCGCATGGAAAAAAGTACACGAAGTGCCGTTCAAAAGCACGAAGAAAACGATGGCATTGTAAAATTGTAAAAAGATGCTCTTTGTATTAACATGGTATCAAGAAGCAATAAACTTCGTAATATCACGCATTTTTCCGTAATGCAAAGCGATTCTACCAGCCGGTGGCAACTCCCCTTGCCCGGCTGAAACCAGGCTCGGAAGCGGAGCGGCTCCGTTTTCCAACTTTTAAACGAATAAAGCTAATAGAAGCTATTTGATTGCCACATAACGAGTACATCAGGGCAACGTAAAATTTCACGTAGATTACGATTCTGCACTTACATTTGCAAAAAGACGAAGGATTGCGGAAATAATCACGGGTTATGTTCATATTGCGGCGTCGGCTCGCTCGTATCAGCTCGTCTCATATTTGCCGAATGTTAATGTAAACAAACAAAAGCAGCTAGAGGAAAACGGTCACTTGCAATCGAAAGATCACACTTTTTCCCTTGGTATTTTGACTATTGCAAAGCTCGAACGCCCGCTAAAACAAGTATTTAAACAAAGAAACAAAACCTGTCCCGGAATTGAGGTTATGTCGGCTCAAATCATTCCCTGTTGTTTCTTCACAGAAATATTCGTTTTAGCGGGCGTTCGAGCTTTGCAATAGTCTCTATACCAAGGAAAAAAATGTGATCTTTGGATTGCAAGTGACCGTATTCTTCTAGCTACTTTAGTTTGTTTACATTAACATTCGGCAAATATGAGACGAGCTGATACGAGCGAGCCGACGCCGCAATATGAACATAACCCGTGATTATTTCCGCAATCCTTCGTCTTTTTGCAAATGTAAGTGCAGAATCGTAATCTACGTGAAATTTTACGTTGCCCTGATGTACTCGTTATGTGGCAATCAAATAGCTTCTATTAGCTTTATTCGTTTAAAAGTTGGAAAACGGAGCCGCTCCGCTTCCGAGCCTGGTTTCAGCCGGGCAAGGGGAGTTGCCACCGGCTGAGTGCACTGACCACATCATTTGATGCGGGCAAAATGGCACTCAATTTATCTCATCAGTTGGTGGTGTGCAACGGATCACGTTTGGTTTTTCATTCAACACTCCGTAAAATACGGCAATCTTCGCGCTAAACTACAAAGAAAAGACACTGGGATTCCAAACGCTATGAACATAGCACGTATAGTGCAATGCCACGATAGCTATGTTGCACCTTACGTGCAATGCATCCCGAAAATGCCCTATGCAAGTGCACGGGAAGGCATTGCACTTGCACTTCATGCGCACACTGCACCTAGCGTTTGGAATCTCAGTGAAGGATTCGGAAGATAAACAATTTCGTACTACCTACGATTTGAACCAAATTCAGTGTATTATGGACAAATTGTCCGCAAGATTTTTCTCGTCTTTTTGAGGTGTCACGAAGTGGAAGCTGAACGTTGAGACTAAAAGTTTTCTCCGAGGGGTCGACAACTCCCCTTAGCCATGTAAGAAAAGTAGTACACGCACTAAAAAAGTAATGGTCGGACACAGAGCCAAATTATGGCGTGACAAAAAGTCACGCCAAAATTGGCGAGACACGAAATTCACGCCGAAAAACGGCGTGACATGTGAGTCACACCCTCACTTGGCGTGAATGAAAACGCGTTTTAAGAGACAAGTCACGCCAAAAAGCGGCATGACAAGAAATTCACGCCAATTTTTGGCGTGAATTTTTGAGTCACGCCGTTTTTTTTGCGTGACTTTTCTGTCATGCCGTTTAATGGCGTGACACTTAATTCAGGCCCCTGCAGCGGCACGAAGTCACGCCGATACATTTTCAGTGCGTAAATTACAAGTAATATAAATAATTATGTGTATATAGGGGTGCATGGTAATGTACAGGAAATATGAAGGTAGCCACCGCGTACGAGGTAATATAAGAGCGGGGGGCAAAAAACTTCGTCAAAAGTTGTAAACCGTTATTTCAAATTCACGTCATTTCATTGTTATTTCAACGTTATTTCACGTAATTTCACGCTATTTCACGAAATTTTTCGCGTTATTTCACGATATTTCGCGTCATTTTCCCCCGTTATTTCACGTTTTTTCACAGAAAATGTACACCAAAATTCAAGTTGTGGGCCCCCTCGGTTTTCTCGACTTTTGTGCAACGAGTTGCACGCTCGATCTTACACTGTGATAGGGCGCCCTGGGGCTGTCGTGCCGAGGGTCGTTGTCACCAGTGCCGCCTCTCTGGTGGGCCCAGCCGTTCTCGGTGATCATGATTGGCATCTTGTAGTTTCGGTGGATCCAGAGTGGCGCCTCGCGAAGCACCTTGGGATCAGCCTGGATAGAACCCCCAGAAAAAATTACGAAAGTTGTAAAAAAAAATTGCGTTGATATGAGTTTTGAAAAGGTGAGGATGGGCTACAAATGACTTCAGAGGTGATTTCTAACTACACTGTTAAAAGTAAGGCGTAAAATGGCGCTTTTGTGAAGCGCACAAGGGGTCCTTTCCTCCTATCTGCAAATGCACGGGAGATATGCCTCGACGCGTACGCTTCAAGAAGGCGACGTAAGATCTTCAAGCGTACACCATGGCAAAAGACCACGAAGAAGTCAGTTATTTTTTGCCAAAATTCTTGTAGTCAAAACCCAACATTTTCCACAGCTTCCTATCAACATCCATCCTCCGAACGACTTGGTGTTCTCCATACTACTTACAGTTTTCTCCACATACAGGAGACTGCAGACCAATGAGGAGCACTCAGAAGGCTTGTAACCCCTATGGAGAACACGAACAAGACGGCTACGGGAAATGTTGGGTTCTGAACGCTTACAACCTTATAAACATACATTACAAACTAATTTACTTTGTTATATGAAGAAGTAGTTCGTAAATCACGAAGTATTGCTTTTCTTTGCAAGGCTTAAAATAGTTAAAAAGGTTTTCGCAGTGTGGGTACGGATATTTGTCACAAGTTGTTTACAGAGTTTTCCGAACTTCTTGCCACGGTCTAGTTGGGTGACAGGGGGCCCAGACTTACGCTTTAGTTTTACCAATGTAGTTAACATTTTTTTCTTCCCCACCCCCATGAACTGGCCCCCGAAGTTTCCCGGGGTGCTGTCGGTGCCGACCTCCACAGAGTCGCGGTCGGTCGCCATGGTGCCGGGAGCGGGGTGCGGTTCGTAAGTGCTGTCCGCCACAATGTTGCCCATGTACGCGTTGAAGCAGAGGAAGTCGGTGGGAACCTGGGAAACAAAGATTTTTGTGTCTTTTTTTCTTTTTAGAAACAATACCTGGAACCTTTTGTGTACTCAGGATCACTTATGCTCGCTATGTGTGTACTCAGGACACACTTTTCAGTGACTCTCTTGCTGCGTTCACGACGCGACAGATCGAGTTTTAAGATTACTGTCAAGTTAAAATCCCATTTTCTTTTATGATTCCTCCTCGTTGCATAGAGGACTACGACAAAATTTTGTCTCCAAAATCTCCCTTTCAATGAAAAAAAAAGTTTGCAAGAGCCTCAGCTCCTCGCAACTGAAACGTACAGGGCCCAGACCAATTTTCTATTCTATGCTCAGTTTGGCTTCATAAATCATAACTTAAGAGCCTAAAAATTTTGTATCTTAGGTTATTCAAATCAATAATTAGGGGAGATATCACAGAATTTGGCTGTGATCATTCGCAAAAAACTGAAATGATTTAGGCCTAATTGGATGGCATTTTTCTGTTGTCCAAATCGCTGTTTCTTGCAATAATTCCGATATTCACAGCAGAAAAACTACTAAGATCATTGCAGAATTTTTTTATACAAAAACATTGCTGAGGAGCAAAGATTCGTGGGGATCACATTTTGAATATAGTCACACGTTTTTTAGGTAAAAGTATCGCAACTGGGATAACAGTGAGTGTGCTAAGTAGACAGTCAGGTTTGGAGTGTTACAGAAAATTCAAAAGAAGCATGGCATGCGTACCGATCAGATTTTCCTTTCCACGGCGGTGAAGTGCGGCAGCCTGGACCCCGTTGCGGCCCTCCAGGCGGCTGTAGTAGTCGACGCGCTCCCTCACGGGGGAGGGTAGTCGCCGAAGACCACGGGGGGGTACATGAGGCCCAGCATGAACAGGTTGGTGCGCTCGGCCGCCTGGATGTCGTCGTAAGAGGTCGTGTTGGGTGTGGCCCACAGCGCCAGCGCGGCAGTGCCGACCTTGCCTTCACATCAAAGCGAACACAATTTCAGGACTGAGTAGGGTACTTTTGACTTTTGAGAAGAGCGGAGACGGAAGTTAAGAAGAGATCAAAAAGGACAAAAGCCGTACTTTTGCAACAGTACACTCATTCTCACGAGTTTTGCGTACTTACTTTTTTCTTCTCGAGTTCTTCTCAGAACTTTTTTGTAATTTATTTAAAAACCGTCATTAGTACGGTAATAAGAAGTTGCCAAGTAATGCTTTGAAAAACAACAAAGTACTGTGGTTGCTAACAGAAATGCGTCTGCCAAGCGCAGATCCAGAGGAGGGGCGAAAGGACAATTCCCCCCCCCCCCCCTGTTAGATTGCCGCCTAAAAGATAGGCAAGATGCAACACTTTACCGCTGTCAATAGGCAAAAAATGATTCCCCCCCCCCCAAAACGGCGTCTGCTATAAGAAGCAGGCAGTAAAAACAGATAGAGAACCGTTCTCTCCAGACTGACTTAGCATGATATTCATAGGGACATGACCGATCTCATTCAGAGCATAAGAGAGGGAAATCTGGGTTACCTTGTTGGATTGCTTTATATTTCATCTGGTAGATCCGGTACGTCTTCATGTGCGCCAGGATGACATGGTGCACGCACTTGTAGTCATCGCCAGGGTTCTGGCCACCCCCTCCCATGGCGCTGCTCATGCAGTAGTAGTTAGGCTCATTGACGGTGGTCCACAATTTCACCTGTTTCGGAACCAGTCATCGCTAAGTCAGCGCACAGCTTCACTGCAAACCTGACTGCTTATTAGATATTCTCCGAATTCCTTTGTACTATTTTTGAACATGGTCTCACAGCACATGCGTGCTTTTCGAATAAATTTGGGCGCAGAATCGCACGAATTCGACAAAGTTCGCAACTTTTATATTGTGTGCGACCACGTACAAAATAGTACAAATGCGTTAAGTGTGCACGCCCTCACCAATGCATACCTCAGGTGCACACTTACCACTTCATGCTTGGCAAGCATTGCACTGGTAGAACTCAAGCGTACTTTTACGCCTTTCTTCAAGCGTAGTAGAATTACGCTCGGCTTCAAGCGTAGTTCTCCATTTCGCCTCTCTCCCGCCTATCTAAATGCATACGCTTGACGTCAAGCGTTAAGTCTTCAAGCGTAGTTGTATGCTTCAATGAAGCATACAACTACGCTCCAGTTTTACCAGTGTGCAAGCACATGGAGTGACGGGGCCAAGCATGCAGTCGTAAGTGCGTCTATTCCCGAGGGTGCATTTGCAAGTGTGTACTTCTCAGTTTCAGTTTGTAGTGTTTCCTCGGTCATCTGCGTTGAGTAATGCTCTGAAGCAATTACCCTGTCACCGAAATTCTCGAACAGGAAGTCGCCGTACTCAGCAAAGGCGTCAACCATTCTCCGATCCGTCCAACCTCCCGTTTTCTTTCGCACCTCCAAGGGAAGGTCGTAGTGGAGCATGGTAATCTGGAAGAAGAAGGAAGAAGGGCTCGTACCGTGAAGGCGAGGAACACAGCTCGCAATTCGCATGCCTGCAAAGCATCTAGCGTCCTCATAATACACTGCAAAATTCTACCAAATAGTCGAGCTTCTTCTGTAATGTTGCCGCAGGAACTTTCGCAAATTCCCGAAGATTGTTCACAAGTTCATGAAGAATCTTGAGAATTTCCGAAGAGACCTGCAGCAACTTTGTTTGAGAGGTACCTTTGTTAATGCCCAATCTATTTAGCACAGAGAACAAAGGAACTTGTCAGTAGAAAAACTCACATCTCTGAAAGTTGCTAGCAGTCCAATCGGACTAGGAATTCATTGTCCGCAATAGACCCCTTCAGTCATCCAATTAGTGTTCGCAACATTTGAAGCGACTAGTTCAAATCAATGGAGCACAAATTTTCCCAAGGAACGAAATACTTGTAACGACTCTCACCATTGGCTGGATGCCGTTGTCGATGAGCTCGTTTATGAGGTTGTTGTAGTAGTCGACGCCAGCCTGGTTGGGCTTCTTGCTGTCGCCGTCAGGCAGGACGCGCGGCCAGGACACGGAAAACCGATAAGCTTGCAGCTTGAGAAAGAGAACGTAGATTGGTTCATTCAGCATTGGATCCCACCAAATTACTATGCACACCAATTTATTATGTTCTTTTTTGTGCATAGCTTTGCACAAAATTAAACAATGAACATGCGTTTAAATACGCACCAATTTTATGTGTAACAGCGCACACTTTCGTGCTTAGTAGTAACGCACAAATTCGTGCATCTCAAACCGCATGCTCAATTTTGTGCAAAGCTTATCCACAAAAATGTACAATAGTATGTGTACTTCGGTGAATAAGCTTCGCGCAAAATTGAGCATGCGTTTTTAAATGTACGAATTTTGGCGTAATTAAGCACGAAAGTGTGCGTTGCTGCGGATGAAATTCGTGCTTATCGAAACGGATGTTCCATTTTGTGCTAAGCTGATGCACAAAAAATTTCAAAGTAATTTAGTGCGCTGGACGGGATATTCGGGTGATTCCATATCTAATGGGCACAAAATATGTTTGAGGATGAGACTGGACTGGGGTGCCTGGACCAACATTATATAAAACATGTGTGTCTTTAAGGAAAAGAGGTGCGACAATCATAGAGGTCCTACCTAGACTCTATTTATGTATGTGTTATTAATTGATGGTTGTTTCCCCAAATTGCATAAGATTGGATACAACCAGTGGTTCGTTTCAGCACACGAAAAAAAAAATTTTTAATTATGGACGCCCTTTGATTACTGAAGGGTTATTTTTTCCGTGGAGGGGTTGAATTTATGCAATATCCCCAGACGAAGGCCAAGTCCCGGCCAGTGGGCCATCACCCGGGCCCTCACCCCGGGCCCAAATCCGGCCAACACCCGGCCCAGGCCCCGGGCCCTCACCTGGCCAACACCCCGGGCCCAAATCCGGCCAACACCCGGCCTGGGCCCGGTCAACTCTGGCCAAACCCGGCCTCGGCCAACACCTCGCCATCGCTTGGCCAGCACGCGGCCCATTCCGGCCATACTAATTAAACGGCCGAAAAAGGGTATTTTCGCTGTCTAAAGCGCTTCCGAGGCTCCCCATAACACTCCCGGCGCCCTTTTTTGGTACCGCGGTATTGGGGTAGGCGAGCGTGTGTCGGGTCCGAAATGGCATACGATCATGTGTGGTCTAGTCCTTAATGGAAATGGTAAACAGTGGGTAGGCAGCCCCGCAGACAAGCCTGTTGAGCAGGCTGGCCTACGCTGTACCCCGGCAGGCGCTGGCTCGGCCCTGGCAAATGGCAACGCGGGTGACATGGCGATCAGGCACCCCTTTTCAGTGGTGTGGCCGGGGTTGGGCAGACCATTTACTATTGGACCTTGCACCACAAGCTTCAACTCACAGTTCGTTCTCTTCACTTTTTTTGGCCCGCCCTTCTATTCAAAAAATAGGGGGAGGGCCTATGCATTTGCCTTTGTGTCTGTGTGTTGTTGTTGTTGTTGTTGTTGTTGTTGTTGTTGGCGTCTGTGTACAAGGAAGGAGTTGAGCTAGAGTAACCAGATTTGGAGGGTACTTCAGGAGTACCGTCCAAACAAATAATCCGGTGGTGCAAATCCCGTCCGGGTCGCACAAGGGCTGCTGCAGGTGCATCATGGTTTACATGAGCGGGAGGGGGATTTCCGCCATTATTGGTGCTAGCAGGGCACATGGGGGTATTTTTGGAATCGGGGCGCCGAGACAAGATGAATGGACCTGGTCCCGACCTCATCGGCCGCTTTTACAAGTTGGCCAGACCAGGATCTTCAAAAAAGGGGGTCGACCGACTAAAAAAATTTATTGCAGATTTCGATTGGTCTCAGCAAGACCTTTTCAACGAGGGGTCGGAAAGGGGGTCCAGGAGCCCGACTTCGTCTATTAGTCACATCAGGATCTTGAAAAAAGGGGGTCGACCGACTGAAAATTTTTACTTAAGTTTTCGATAGGTCTTGGCAAGACCTCTTCAACGAGGGGTCGGAAGGGGGGTCCAGGAGCCCGCCTTCATGAGTCATGGGAAAAAGTGCGACGGTCTCGTTTTGCGCTCCTGCTGTGCCTCTATTGCAAGGAGTTGCAGTAGCATGGCAAATATGGGTATTTTCGGAATGGGGGCGAAGAGACAAATGGAATGGGCATATTCTTAGGACAGTTGGAGTAAAAAGTGTAAGGACTATTGCATATTGTGAATAGAAGGGCGGGCCTAAGTCACGATGGTACATCGATAACTTTGCTTTACCCGCTCACGGTGTGTGTGATGCGAGCGGGCCGAAGGCCCGGGCCTTCGACTGGCCAAGTTGGGTCTGATGCGAGGGCCGAAGGCCCGAGGAAAGGCCGCCGGCAGGCCAAGCTGGGCCGGCCCCCTGTCGAACCGAGTTGCCGGCGCAGCGAAGCGGAGCTGGCAACTCGGTTCGACGGAAGGGCGGGCCCTAGCTTGTTTATTTACAGTTTCTTCCCTAAATTGTGCGTTTTCAGGTGAGTTGGGTCAGGGCGGGGAAGAACTGGACAGGGGAAGAACTGCGCACCCCATATTTAACTTCGAATACAGTATTCACAGCTAAACAAAGTATCAAAAGTTGCTCCGTGCCATCAGCGGGTCCCGCACGATAGTTAAGTCTGTGCATACGGCATTTGAAGTAAAATATGGGGCGTCCAGTTCTTCCCCTGTCTAGTTTTTCCCCGCCCTGACCCTACCAAAGACCAATTGCCCGTCGGAAAAGTACGAAGGCCCGCCTCGGATCAGACGCAGTGGCTGCTTAAAGTCGGCCCACAACACGATTTTTCCAGGGCACTTAGGACGATTTTGATCAACTTTGAGACACTACTGCTCCCAAACTAAGGCTGATAATCGCACTCCGTAACAAAGGCATGCTAAAGGTAGGTCCAAAGACCAATTGCCTGTTGGAAAAAAACGAAGGCCCGTCTCCGATCAGGCGCGGTTTCTGCTTAAAGTCGGCCCAAAACACGATTTTTCAAAGGCATTTGTAACCGTTTTGAGCAACTTTGAGACAATACTGCTCCCTTACGAAGGTGGATAATCGCACCCCGTAACAAAGGCATGCTAAAGGAGGGGTCCTGTAGGGTTGCGAAATTATTCCTGGGGGTCGCGGAAATATTTGGCTGCAAATTTGGGGTCGCGAGCCGATAAAGGTTGAGAACCGCTGGGATATCCTGTAGGGCTGATGACTGCTGCTCCCTCAACAGTAGGTTGATCCAGATGGGCTGCGGTACTCACCTGAAAACGCACAATTGAGGGAAGAACTGTAAATAAAAAACTGAAGAGAACGAACTGCGTGTTGAAGCTAGTGGTGCAAGGTTCACTGCAAAAATACACTAATTTCTGGCAAAATTTTTATCAGGAATTTAGTGTACTTTTCAAGTAAAACGATTGTTGTACAAAGTACCAGGTGGCTCAGAAACCCCGAGACAAAATGATTGCAGGCTACACGCCTGCAGCCGTGCATGCGGGCTTGCCTACGCTCCGGTCTGCGGGCGCCGGGACGCTCCAGGGTGGCCACTCGTCCATGACGCACTGTCCACCGCGGCGCTGTCCTTCGCAGCGCCGTCGCCGTGGGGCTGTCCGCCGAAGGACAGCGCCGCGAAGGACAGCGCCGCGGACTGCGCCGTGCCGCGAAGGACAGCGCCGCGAAGGACTGCGCCGTGCCGCGGACTGCGCCGTGCCGCGGACTGCGCCGTGCCGCGGACTGCGCCGTGCCGCGGACTGCGCCGTGCCGCGAAGGACAGCGCCGCGAAGGACTGCGCCGTGCCGCGGACTGCGCCGTGCCGCGGACTGCGCCGTGCCGCGGACTGCGCCGTGCCGCGGACTGCGCCGTGCCGCGGACTGCGCCGTGCCGCGGACTGCGCCGTGCCGCGGACTGCGCCGTGCCGCGAAGGACAGCGCCGCGAAGGACAGCGCCGCGGACTGCGCCGTGCCGCGAAGGACAGCGCCGCGGACTGCGCCGTGCCGCGAAGGACAGCGCCGCGGTGGACAGTGCGTCAGGGACGAGTGGCCACCCTAGAGCGTCCCGGCGCCCGCAGACCGGAGCGTAGGCAAGCCCGCATGCACGGCTGCAGGCGTGTAGCCTGCAATCATTTTGTCTCGGGGTTTCTGAGCCACCTGGTACAATGAAGCCGGCACGATGAGCGTTGTGCCGACCAGGTCTCGTTGTGGTTTGTACAATACTCGTTGTACTTTCTACAATCCCTGTTGTACTTTTATTGTACAGTTGGCGATATTTCTATGTATCGCCGTTCTGAAGGCAATACTTTTCCGTAAGGCCGTTTATTGACAATACTTATTTATCCACCCCTATCCCTATCCACATTGTGACATTTGCAGTCAAAATCAAATCTAGCGACGGCGACGAGATCGGCGGGGGCGAGTGAATCAATACTTAAAAGGTGGGCAGCGTAGCAACTCTTTTTAGCTTGCCTCACACTTGTGATGGACTACTGAGACAACACCTGACATTCGCCAGACAAGGCAACTGCTTATACCGATGCACTTACGTTTGTGTCCATCCCCCTCACTGCCTTCCGTAGAACGGGGTAATATGAGACATGAAGGAAAATCGAGACAAAGCGCACTTTTTTCGGTTTTTGTCGTGTTGCTCTCTAGCGGTTGTTCAGAAGACTACCGTGAATTTTTTGTCGTGATCTAGGAGGCCGTGGCAGCTCACAGAAAACGCACGGAGGCTATCAGAGACTCGCCAGGGCTATTTAGAACCAAAGGTAAAAACTCTTAATTTTAACAAGTTTCATAAAGTTCGTAAAAACCTCCCCAGAAACCTCGGTTAGAACTTGGGTTCTCGTCCGAACGAGGTTTAAATCTGTAGGCAATTATGTCAACATAATCAGGACAAAATTTTGTTCCGTCATGTCTACTCTCGGGCTGCCTGTTCCAGATGGAATACAATTTTGTTACCTTGCAGGGAAAATATAGACACCTCTTTTCGCTTGAAATATGAGGCCAAACATACTCCACTGTTAATAATTTCAAGTAATAATGATTTTAACACGAATTTGTTTTGCTACCTGACCGGTATCTAAGCTCTTCGTTTAGTATTTTCATGTGACAGGCACAACTCATGACTTCTTATACATTTTTGAGCTCTCTTTAGTGACACCTATCTTTCTCCCCTCCAGATTTTATATCGTCTCCATTATAGGTTCCAATCATCTTTAAAATGAATGAAAAGAACTTAAAAAGCTCCAAACCCGCCTAAATGATTTAATTATCCATACTTCTTTAACATTTCTTTCTTTTGTCTCATGTTACCCCACATTGCAGGGAAATATGGGACGGCATTCCGAGAGTAATTGAAAGGTCCCTACTGCACCTAAAAATCTGAAATTTGGTGGGAGAGTAGCCAAAGGGTCAATGAACAAGTGATGAACACCTCAGTACCTCAAAATGAAATTAAAAGGGGGAAATCCACGAAAAACCTCGAAATTTGTCTCATATTACCCCGTTCTACGGTTCTAGAAGCTTCAGCAGGCGACCACAACCACGAAAGCCACGAAAAACAATGTTACGAAGTCATTGCGACTGACTTTTGTGTTCAAAAATAACAGGAATTCAGCGATTTTGTCATGTGACTTCATTAACATGCAAAATGCGCATTTTTTTGAATTTTTCCATCTTTTCCGGGGCTCTTGGAAAAATACGGAAATTTTCAGAAATTTTCTGCATTTTTCCCCGGAAATTTTCCGGCATTAGAATCACTAGGTGCCTGATCGCCATGTCACCCGCGTTGCCATTTGCCAGGGCCGAGCCAGCGCCTGCCAGGGTACAGCGTAGGCCAGCCTGCTCAACAGGCGTGTCTGCGGGGCTGCCTACCCACTGTTTACCATTTCCATTAAGGACTAGACCACACATGATCGTATGCCATTTCGGACCCGACACACGCTCGCCTACCCACTAATACCGCGGTACCGAAAAAGGCGCCGGGAGTGTTATGGGGAGCCTCGGAAGCGCTTTAGACAGCGAAAATACCCTTTTTCGGCCGTTTAATTAGTATGGCCGGAATGGGCCGCGTGCTGGCCAAGCGATGGCGAGGTGTTGGCCGAGGCCGGGTTTGGCCAGAGTTGACCGGGCCCAGGCCGGGTGTTGGCCGGACTTGGCCGGGTGATGGCCGGGCCTGGGCCGGGTGTTGGCCGGACTTGGCCGGGTGTTGGCCGGGTGATGGCCCACTGGCCGGGACTTGGCCTTCGTCTAGGGTAGGAAGAAAAGTTAAGTTTCCCCCAAAAAAAGTCGCAATAGACACACTTTTACCACCCGCACAGCTCAGGACAGAGCCCACCTATGACCTTACAAGTTCATAGGCATCTTCCTCTATCCTATTGGCACATACTTTAAATTTGGTCCGGAAAGAGCACATCGGAAAATAAATAAGTTATGATACAAGTCACAATAGGAGTCAACATTTCTGACTTACCTTCAGATCTTTTATTGCCCGAACGTCTTCCTTGTAGCGACGATAGGAGTCTGCCGCCCCCTTCGTATCCAGACCATCCAGCACACTTGGGCCCTTGCCTTAACAATCAAAATGTTATTTTCATTGGAATATTTATTGTCACGTTCGCTTAAATACGATGCCACATTTGTTTGAACGTGACACGATCGTCTGATAAGGTTGTCGTGGATCAACACTCAAACGAATGTGACATCGTTATTAAGGGGTACGATGGGGAAGGAAAGCACTACAGGGTAAGAAGAGTGCACCGTCATAGAACTGATGTCTTGACTTTGAGTTATTTCGAGTAATTTCAACTTAAGTTGAAATGAATTGAAATGAAAATCCGAAGGCGGAATCCCTATCAAAAAGGCGACGAGGATAACTGCAGGCCATGGTGTTGTGCGCACCCTGCACTTTTCTTCCCTAACCTACTCCTAAGCGAACGTGACAAAATTAACATTCTAACAAATATCACATTCGGTTGAAATAGTGTGTGCTACTCACCATCTGCGTTTTCCGACCCCTCGATCTGGAAAGCTGCCGAGCCGGCGCCAATGAGGAAGCCCTCCGGGATGTCGATGGTCGGGCCATCGAATGTTCTGCCGGCGAGACTCCCCCTTGCGTCCACGCTCAGCACGGACAGACAGAGCAGCCAGCACAACCACATACTGGCACTTCACAGCAAGTAGCTACGTCGAAGAACTGACCTTGGCGTGCGCAGCCTTCGTTTATATTGACTTGTTTCTTTTCGGTGCGCTGCAGAAAAGTACGTAGCGTGGAAAAATCGTCGGGGCGCACCTATCTGCTGATTCTGAAGTGCCACAGGCTGAAGATGGCCACAGATAGCAGGACTGAGTCACACCTCGCTAAGGCACTCAGGGTGTCTCTACTTCCGACATCACAACGCAGCGCCTGACTCCCGTTGAGGTTATGACGATCTTATGACGTTTCTGCGCGTCATTGGCAATGCGTTGCGCAGTTTTGATGAGCGAATCATACACTGGTAGAGCTATCACGGTAAAAACGTCCCCTTGGAATCCCCGGGATCTAGCAAAACCAAAAGAGTCCCTTGGAATTAGCTCAAATTCCAAGGGGTCCCCTTAAAAATTGGTCGGTTTGAGTAATTCCAAGGGACTCGCTTGGAATTCTGTAGTTTTCTAAGCAAGTCGCTTGAAATGCACTCTAAAAAATAATGGCATTTGTACTACACCGTCGTATGGTAAAAGTACCAACTTCGGTATGGGAAACGACAATCCTATACGTGATTTGGAAAATTCCTATGCTTTTCGTTCTTTTGCCAATGCGGTGTAGTAAAAATCCGAACCGGGTATAGGAATTTGATTTCCTGTACTCTTGATCGGTTTTTTGCCACACTTTTTAGTAGAAATCCTATTACGTACTTCAGGCCGTTGTATAGTGCTTTTCCTACAACGCATTAGTAAGAATCCCAAACATTTCTGAAAAATCTTTGGAGGAGAGAGGGGAACAAAACGGATATTCATGGTAACAGGCTGCACAGGGACTAAGGCGGCAAAACTGCCCAGAGAAAAGTAAACAAAAGCTCATGTGTTTCAAATCGTTCTTTAGAAATTGGCACTATAGACGATTCGTTAACACCGGTTTAAAGTTATTTTGTATCTTGTTCTGTCCCATTATCTCATGTGGTTTTGGATTATTTCGACTTCTTCAGTAAAACTTGAAATGGGTAAGTCTCTGAAAGTCGCGGAAACTCTGAGAACTATTTAAGCAAATGAGCTATGGTTTTAAGGGGGCAGTCTCGTCCCTGTACCCTTTTTTAGGGGGGTTTTCCCTCCCTCTTTTGATGACGATGATTTTTTAAATATACCTCTTAGAGACAAACGGTAAAAACCAAATAAAAGAACATATTTTTTACAACATTTTCAAAAAAAAAATTTTGTTTTGTCTTCAGTTGTAAGGGAGTTATAGGGAGTGCAACAAAAGCCGACAAAACATACAAAATTTCACTGCGCGACAATTTTCTCCGGAAGTTCTTAACTTTTTGGCAATCGGTTTGCGGCATCTTGAAGATGAAAACATCACCTTTACTTTAACCTACAATTGTCCATATAGCCCAAGGAAAACCTAAATTAAAACCGTTCCTAAGTTTGTATAGGTTTTTGGTTACGTTTTAAAAAGTGTAATCCTTGGGCTATATGGCGATTGTAGGTTAAAGTAAAGAGGATTTTTTTATCTTCAAGATGCCGCAAACCGATTGCCAAAAAGTTAAGAACTTTCGGAGAAAATTGTCGCGCAGTGAAATTTTTTATGTTTTGTCGGCTTTTTTGCATTTCCCCATAACTCCCCTTTCAACTGAAGACAAAAAAAAATATTTTTTTTGAAAATGTTGTAAAAAATTTCCCTTTTTTCATTTGGTTTTTTCCGTTTGTCTCTAAAGGTATATTAAAAAATCATCGTCATCAAAAGAGGGGGGAAAAACCCCCCCAAAAAAAGGGGGCAGGGACGAGACTGCCCCTTAAATCCTTGCGAAATTTTACGAGATTTTGGCGAGCGATAGCGAGCCCCTGCCGTGTTTGGGGCACCAAAAAGTGACTGGTCGTGCGTTGTCTGTCTGTAACTCACTCACGTTTCTCAGCAACTACCGCACAAATAGTTTCAAAAATTTTGCACCGGAAGGCTCCTAAAACTCCCCCAGGGGGAGTTTTTCTTATATTCACGATTACTACTGTTTGAAATATTTAAAAAATCTTTTTTAATTAGGTTCTTAGCGTGGTTAGGTTTGGGAGTGGGTGGCAGCTCGTAGCAATTTTTATCTTGCGGCCGCGACTCAAATACGGGACCTAGCAAAACATTGGCAAATAAAACAAACTAAAAAGCAGAAGGGCTTAGAAGTGAGTACGGTCATAGTTTTTTGATATTTTTGAATGATTGAAACCCCTCCGGGTGTCAACTCAGTGAAATACGGAAAATGAAAGTGACAATTATTACGCGGTTCGTCCGTCCGTCCGCCCCCTCCCCTCCCCCGCTACACCGCTACAGAGGAAATGTTTTGGTCAGTGGAGTGTGTTTGATATTTGCAAGAATGATTTGGTCTTTTTAACCTTTGTGAGTGTATTTCCATTTTTATTCTCAGACACTATACTTTTTAGTTGTTTGCTTTGCTCAAATAACAGTTAGAGAATAAATTAATACATTCTATAAGTACACTCTGGACACTAATGTTGCAAAAATAAATAGCCCTTGCTGACTCTTGGCACTGATTCTTGGAAAAGGCTTCATTGCAATGCTGTAAGTTTACTATAGTACTAATCTTAAAGATAACCATACGGTGAGTGAGTGGAGCGCATACAAGGTTTGACATTGACATCTGATTCAATGAGACGATTCAGTGACTTGATCATATGATTTCATGAGACGATTCTTTTAACTTCATCATACATCGTCTGCGACAACTGGTAATTTGTGTCGGTCAAGGTTTTAGTTGGCTCTCTTTTTAATTTACTTTGAATGTCAGGTAAATACTTATGCTATACTGTTTCAAAGATTAAATATCACATCATGACTATCATTATGAATAAGATTAACTTGCGTTTAGCAAAAAGTGGGCTCGACATCGGATTCTATGGAACAATTCATTGGATCTGATAGAAAGTCTTCTCCATAAAGTAGTTGCAATCAGCCTGCCTGTAAATGTGTCTCTTTTTAATTAATTCAGATAAATCAATATAGTTTCATCCGCTAGTTTAAAATAAAAGGAAGATAAAAGGCTTTATAGGTATTACTAATAACATTGTGTATTCATAAGTTCAACAACAAGGAGATATCAAATGGTAATTGAGGCATTTGTGAATCGTATTAAGCAATTCAATGCTGGCAGTTGAATGTTACTCGACTGAGTAACAGGGTCAGGGTTCATGGTACGACACCGTGAACAGGAAACATACTTAGAAATTGCGTTCATGTTAACAACAGCAGACCCATACTTATTCAACTAGAATTACATGATTTTGGGCCAAAATTTCCTCGGTGAGTCATTGACTCCTACAGTTTTTGGTGTGCTGATCACGAAAACGACTTCCAATTTCATCCCAGACCTTTTACTTTTCCCAAAATTTACCAATTTCGGACCAAAATTTTCAAGTCGAGTTTTACATAGTTTCCTGCAGTTTTTGGTGTGCTGATCACGAAAATGACTTCGGATTTCATCCCAGACCTTTACTTTTCCCAAAATTTACCAATTTCGGACCAAAATTTTCAAGTCGAGTTTTATCTAGTTTCCTGCAGTTTTTGGTGTGCTGATCACGAAAATGACTTCCAATTTCATCCCAGCCCATTACTTTTCCTAAAATTTACCAATTTCGGACCAAAATTTTCAAGTCGAGTTTTACATAGTTTCCTGCAGTTTTTGGTGTGCTGATCACGAAAATGACTTCCGATTTCATCCCAGACCTTTACTTTTCCCAAAATTTACCAATTTGTGACCAAAATTTCAATGTTTAGTTTCCTATTGTTTCCTGCAGTTTTCAGCAGGATAATCACGAAAATGACATTAAGTCCGGCCCTTTTGTTATGGAAGACCCCGTATTGGCCTTATTTTGCACATATTCTTCACCATCTCATATAAGAATGTGTTCAGACGCATCGCTCGCCTACTACTCGCCCAAACTAAACGGCGCGTACCCCTAGTATAATGGGACTGAAAATAAACGTAGCGCTCCAAAGCATTTTGACATCGTCTATTGTTAAGTTGCCTTGTAAAAACGTAAACTGTGGGTAAGGGTATGGGCAGGTTTCACAAACCTGCCGCTAGGTGGCGCTTGGAGCGCCGTGCCCGTTCACCAATAAGTATTTCCGATTTATGTTACTAAAGTAAATAATTTTCGACAACTATATCATCTGTTGCCTAAGTAAGTGTCAGCCCTAGCCGTTGGCTTCCAGTTTTAAACAAAATATGACACTATAGTCGAGAAAAACGCATCTCCATGTTGCCACTCGCTGGCGACTGCGGTCGGCCATTGGGTTGGGTGCACGCAAGATCCTCTTCATGTTTAAGAGGTCCACCTCGTCTGAGGGTTACCTAGACAGGACTGAACTGTCTTCCGAGTTTGAGTTTACCTCTACTGGAATCCTCACTCATTACTTCATTTTTGGAAATGCCTTCCCGTGAGATGTGACGCCATGTTTTCCCGAACGATGATCCACTAAACAAGCTTTCCTATGCTTGAATAGGAGTTTTACCGCCTCATGTAACGAAAATATCCCACAATTCGTATGGGATTTTTACCATACACGGTGTAGTATTTTTCCCACACCCTAATATAGTAGAAACCTAACAACATGTATAGGATTTTTGCCATATCGACACATGGTAAAATTACCATGTCCTGTGTGGGAAAAATCCTATACCGAATAGGTTAAATGCGTCCGATACTTTTATAGGATTTCTACCACAATTTTTTTTAGAGTGTGTGGCCGCTACACCTCGCGACTTTGACCTTTCATATTTTGTGAAATGGGGGATTGGGATTGTTTGCGTGATAATAGGTGTTGATTTCGTTCAGTTGTCAAAGCAAGAAAAACAATAGAAGCTATTGATACCGTAAAAACTAATCGTGAAAACAAGCAGTGCCGAAACCTCACTTTCATGTCCGCGTCCCCAGCCCGAACTTCCAAGGGAGTCCCTTGCTTTTATCAATTTTCAAGGGAGTGCCTTGAAATCGACACTCAATTTTAAGGGAGTCCCTTAATTTTATTCCCTTGGATTAGAAAAAATCCCCTTAAATACCAAGGGGACGTTTTTACCGTGTAAAACGTAATTTTATGCCGTTCTTCAAGTGTAGTGGCTGCTAAGCTAGACTGCAAGCAGAGCACGTCACCCAGTGGGGGTTCGCCGGTTCGTCTTGCAGACTGCAAGACGATTAATGAAAACGATTCGTGCTCTCACCTAGATTCAGTCAGCACTCATTTTTTTCCCAACAGTTGTTATGATTTCGCGAACAGAATTGCAATTAAAAACAATAAATGGTAGCTCTTTCCGAAACATTTACAGCACATCGCGGCACCTCGTCATATATGAGAAAGTACCTTTTTAAACAGTGCGGCGACCGTACCAACAGTCCTACTGACAGAGGTTTCTCGGCTCCCTGCCCGCGCCCGTTCCGCCTTCCACACCAGTGCTGTTAAAGTTAATTTTACGATTAACGAAGTTACTTAACGCCGTTAACGTTAATTGACGAATTAACGTTAAGGTAAAAAATCAATTGTGGGTCACATTTTTGAAAATTCCAAATTAAGGCCTTTAATTTTGACCTGGTGACAAAAGTGCATGTGCGGCCTTTAACTATGGTCCTTGGACTACGTTTTGCAGCATAGTAGCCCCGTCTATCATCCATATTTACTAAGCTGTGGCTGTTATAAAAATAGTCTGTTTTGGCCCACAATTGATTTTTGGAACCAGTTGTGGGTCAGCATTGTAGAAAGCTCAAATTTGGATATGATTTGCTTAAATGCGAGAGGAATTCACTTCTGAATTTATTTTTCGGAATCGTGAAAACTGCAGGATCTGTAGTACAATGAATCAATTCTGGGTCATATCAATTGTGGGCCATTTCGTCTTTTTGCTTGTAAATTGACCACTTTTGCAAGATATTTTCTTATTTTTATTAATAAAAGGTCCCTGGTTCTCAATAAACCAAGCAGGCACGTTTTTCACTCAAAGAGGAAAAATACATAAACCGACATAAACAGGCTTATTTCACTGTGAGACAGATGTGAGTTAAACGTCCTGGACTAGAGACGAAACTTTTATAGTGCATATTCTAGGGCCGCCGGTGTGGTAGACAATCCAACACCACACCCTGTCATTGTGAGGTATTGCTACAGTTTATAATCTATTTCAGTCAGAATATTTAGTCTGTAGGGATTGATTTGACTCCTACAGGGCCGCACTGGCCTCGGGTGCCTAGCCTGCAGTTAGAGAGCGGTCCCCTTCCGGGCGCTATGTAAGCCCCGCAATGCCCCCTTCCCAACAAAAAAAGCCTTATGGCGGACCGGAAGTAAGAGCTAGCGTTGTCATTCGGGGCTGTAGCCTAAGCTTAACAACCTTCGTATCGTAGTACTATATGTGACTGAGCAGAAAAATGGAATTTACTGTGATACATCAGTCATTCAGAAGCGCAGAAAACAAAAAATATTAGAAAAACTACCGCAAAATTCGTCAAAAATAACGGGTCGGACATGGTAGCGAACGCTACTTTGCCATCACCCGCGCACCATGGCATCGAATGATTTCGGCTGTACTATGGTAAATTTATGTTCCCTGACCTATTATGAACCTAAATCAGCAAGGACGTCCCGTTTTACCTCGTAATAGCTTCACGGTGGCAATTTGAAAAACAAACGATTTTTCGGCTCGTTGGATGGGCGCATTTTTCGCGACTTTTTGAAGGGCCTTCCTTTGAAGCCTGATAGGAGCTGTTACAGTCGTCGCTCGGACATACACGCTATTTGGGGAGACAAAGAAAGGTTGGAGGAAGGTCTACCGCGAAATTCAAATCGATTCAATCTCCGCCGGGGTTGCGGTGACCCGTCGAAAGAAATGACCCACAATTGATTCGTGACCCACAATTGATTTTTTACCTTACTTTACACTCACGCTAAAATCCGTACTAAGTTTCTCAAGCATGGGTACAAATTTTGTTTTGTTTGTAATAGGAGGAAATGGTTTGTGAATTCGAACTATTATTTTCCAACGAATTTGTTACAACACGGGGTAAGCCTTCAAGGGTAGGATAGTTTGCGTTCCACTGTGCACATTAAACAAACGTCATGGGACTTCTTTTTTCCCATGAACGATATGCAATTTTCAGCGCATTCGTCGGTAAAACAATTTTGTGTCCACCACTTCATACAAATTGGCCGGAGCCTGTTGCAATTTGCTGGTTCATTGGAATTTGTATCACAATCGTATTACCAACGGATGTGCCAAAAATTGCATCACTCATGGGACAGAAGAAGTCCCATGACACTTTAGCGTATGGCCCTTCACGTATACAGGCCCTTGCTATTGACATGAGTAGACAGTGATAAAGCCGATTTGCTTGAGGGACACCTGATCCATCTGACTCAATACCACCTGCAGGTGTGCCTTTTAGGACATAACCAGAGCATCTCGTACCTAATCTTTCAGTGAGATTGAGAAGCATCTTGTTGTTCAACGCACGCAGGTGCGCCGGAAGTTCCTTGAAGTGCATGTCGCGGGTCACGCTTAAAACCATTATGAGCACATACAAACTAATTTTCTTTGTTATGCGAAGAGATAGTTTTAAATTACGAAGTATTTTATTAAGTTTATGCATGCTCAAAATAGTTTGTGATTACAAGCTGCTTTTCTTTGTAAGGCCCAAAATAGTGTGTAAGGTTTTCAAAGTGTTTGGGAGGGGGTGGGGGTGTCTTTGCTTTCCCCTGAAAGGTGTGCCACAATTCACTCTTTCCTCCACTAAGTTGACAACTCTCGCAACGTCCCCTGCCTCCCGAAACCATCTCTTTACTAAAGCGCTTGCTGAGAGCACTTACGTGTGCACGCTGAAAACCTTACGAACTATCTTGTGCATACCGTTCATAACACATAAACTACACGGTACCCAGGAACTCCCTGGAAATCCCGATAGGCTTCCTGAAAAAAACAGGAACCGTTTTTACCGTTTAATTTACTTTGTATAAGAAAAAATAGTTCGTAACTTGCTAACTACTTTCTGGGTAAGCTGACGTATGTCCAAAATACTTTGTTATATGAAGCTATTTGACTTCGCACGGCTTCAATAGTTAGTAAGGGTTTCAGAGTGTATACTCACTACACACTTAAAACATATAAGTGTGTTTTGAGTACACGCTTAAGTTTTCCGCGTGGATCCGCTCTTCACTGCGCGAGAGAAAATCAGATAGCGGTTTGCGAGTCATTCAAAACCGAATAGAATCAGGGATGATCTAAGTCGAAAACACCGTTGAGAATCGGCATGACGAAAGGAACCCATCCAAAGGCCACCGTGGCTAAGTTGTCTCTTAGCATTCCTCTTAAGGATACTGTAAAGTGAAACAAGCATGTCCTAGAAATATTTGTCACAGGAAGATCATTTTGTGGTCAAAATTCAACCACTATAAGATGAATTAATTCCCAAAGTTGGGGGCCCCTACTCCTATTAGTTTCTGAGTTATGGAGGTTTACATAAACTTTTAGTCGTTTCTCCCAAATTCTCTTCACGACAAAGGACTAGCTACCCAGGCCTACTTTAATTTTTCCTCAAATTTGTGAGATTTTGACCCATTTTGGTCTTGGTTTTGTTTTTTCAGGAAAACGAAGGCAGATATTAAGGGAAGGTGGGGTACCATGTGACGGTTTCTGTTCAACTGCCCGGCAACCCAATAATACCAATCACATTACATCCATAAGTTGACATGTGAACAAAATGATTCTTCACCGTATAATTTCTGTTGAGATTTCTAATTTATCAGTTTTGGTTGCTGAGTTATACCGAGTTGAATGGGCCTAAGTCAAAGTGTCACTTCGTAACCCACGCAGTACACCATGTGACAGCCTTAGTGCACCATGTGACAGTGGCCTTTTGTCAGGGTTTAAATCCTATTCAGCGTACCTATGTGCAAAGAATGAATGTAGAAGTCTTCCAGCTTTTTATTTTCGTTGAGTTTATCAATTTATCATCTTTGGTTCCCGAGCATTGAGTGAATCGTGGAATCCCATAGCGAATGACAGTGGTGTCACGTGGTGCCCAGATCAGCAGTTTTAGGGGAAAAGTTTATGCCGTAGAGAATCGAGCCAAAGCTTATTTAGAGCTTAAAACATCAAAGAAGAACATCTTGCATGGCTTATGTCCTTAAAATGTATTTTAAAGGTAAAAAGCGGACGCGGCGGGAAATGGAAAAAGTTTCCAATGAGCTATTTTAAGACGGTTTCCAATTCTGATCGCTACCATTTCCGTCCTTTTCGAAGGAGAGTCACGACCTATTCGCCCCGCAAAGCAACCGAGAGATGGCACCACAGTCGCGGCTGCTGTGCCTAGGGTTTTTCAAGCAATCCGGGTGGTGGTGGGGGCGATGAGCCTTGCTGGTGGAGGCCGTGAGGTAGCCCCGGTAGCGGCACAGACCCGTGCGTCTTAGCGTGTCTGGCCCGCCTGGCCCTGGCCAGAAAACCCTACCCAGGGAGCTGGCGACGTAGTTCCGACGGTCGCCGCCAGAGCTGCCACTTTTGCTTTGCGGGGCGAATTGCACGTCGATTCTCCTTCATGATACCTTCCTTTGAGTCTTCTTACCGCTGTTGGATAGCAGGCCGTTTGGGAGAAAAAGCCAAAGTCACACGGTGGCCGTGTCACATGGTACCCCACCTTCCCTTACAAAAAGGGCAACACTATTTTTTCCTATTCAAATATAGATAAAATTGCCAGAATCTGAAGACTGGGTAGCTAATCCTTCGTCGTGAGGAGAATTTGGAAACGACAAAAAGTTTATGTAAACCTCCGTAAGTCAGAAACTAATAGGAGTTGGGGCCCTAGTCTTAGGGTATGAGTTTATGTAATAGAAAGGAACTTTTACCCCTAAATTGAAACATCTGACACAAGTATTAAAAAAAATGTCATATGGCCACTTTTTTCCACTTTACAAGAACCTTAATTGTGTATGAATCAATCTTACTACAAATCGTTTGATACTTCACCTATTTATTCATCTTTTGTATTCAAGTAGAGGAGTCCGTGACACATCGCCGCAAAAGAAGTATAGTCACGAGAGGGAATCGCACCCAAAGCAAACCGCGCGTGCCGCCGAGCGCAGAGACAAAGCTGGTCTACGTCTGCGAAAAGCTGATATGGACGTCGGGGCGGGCGGCTTGGAAGGCGGCGACGGCGCGCCCACACGCCGCCTTGTCGCCAGCGGCCCCCCGGCGGCCCCGGTCGTCGTGGAACACGCTGAGGTGCAGGCGGCGCAGGCTCGGCAGCGTCTCGCAACTGGACAGGGCGCTGGCGAAGCGGGCGACGTCGCCCGAGCTGCGCACGGCGAACATGAGCCGCAAGCCGCGGACGCGCGGCCAGCCGTGAGACGCCTCCACGCACGAGCCGTTGGCCACCACCTTCGCGGGGACAAAAGATACAGGAAAATGAGACATACCCTTGCCGAAGGGCTCGTTACGAAGTTTCAACATTATATAAATACGTGGACACTTGGTGGACATTGTATTTCAGATATATCGAAAGTCTCTAATTTGCAGTGAAGATACTTCATGAACCTTTTAGGTACCTCTGCAGTTAGGATAGTTCTTAATCTGCACTGACAGTTAGGATTGTCTTGGATCAGCTCTGGCAGTTAGGATTGTCTTGGAACTGCTCTGACAGTTAGGATTATTCTTTTAGGACGCGTCGAATTAGCCTCAGTACAGTACGCACACCAAATACCATGGGACATTTTTTATCGCATGGATGATGCACTTTTAGCACATCCGTCAATGATACAACTTTGGACAATTTTTGTAACCCCGGTGGACACAAAATTGACGCCCTGGATGTGCTTAAGATTGCATCATCCAAGGCACAAAAATAATTCCCATGACGTTAGTGCGTATACTGAAGTGTGTAATAGAGTAACTCCACCCCAAGGTGGACCGAGATCTGGGATTGGGTCACGGATTCGGTTCAAACTTTGTGGGTTCAATAGGTACCACTAGGACCTATCAACCCTAAAAGGAAAGTTGGCTAGCTCAAATAGAACCTGAGATATTTGCATTTTTCTAAATTTGACTAATTTAGCGGAAAAATGTCGCTTTCTGATTTTTTTATGGTAAAAGTTGTTTGCTTAGTTCTGGCTTATGTTTCTTCTTTCTAGTCATAAAAAAAGAAGAAAAATGGTGGTAGGCCAAGTTTTGTACGTTGCTTGGTTTGGGCTACTCGAGCAATTTTGTATAATTCATCGAAACTCTCATACCCAAAATACTCCACCTTGGATTTGACCCTGGTAAGTCTCATTTCACTTCTTTTACTCTAATAAACAATTGCTATATAGTCCCTAGCACCAACAATTCCATTTAAGCCAAAAAAATTAAAAACACAATTTTTCAATTTTCTACTTTGACCTATTATGGGCGCTTTTGTCAAGATTAGGGCTTCTACATGATCTTGGGTTAAAGGAAAGATCCTCCCTGCCCTCAAATTAGATTGTATCAACACAGACAAAGAGACCCAAACTCAAGGTGCACTAAAAATTTATAAGGAAATTGTTTCGAGCAAATTTTGCAAGTTTACGAGGGGTGTGAGGAATTTAAATCGGAGGAAAATGTGATGCTTCAGCCAAAAGTGGATTTGTGGTTCATTAGTTAGCTTTCTCTGGTAGGATTGGTGCTCTTTTAACCATGAGAATGTTCCTCCTTGATAATCAGTGATAAAACCCTCACTCGGTATAGGGTTGTTGGACTTACGATTTCAACGCATTAACAAAGTAATGACCCATTTATTTAGGTTGTTTGCAACGTATAAGTTCAACCGCTTAGTCTCTATTACTCAGCCTGGTTCCATTTGGTTTGTTAATTTTTGAGACCAACAGGATGACTTAAGACCAAGGGGTTCAGCTTACACGTTGCGAACAACCAAAATAAATGGGTCATTACTTTGTTAATGCGTTGAAATCGTAAGTCCAACAACCCTATACCGAGTGAGGGTTTTATCACTGATTATCAAGGAGGAACATTCTCATGGTTAAAAGAGCACCAATCCTACCAGAGAAAGCTAACTAATGAACCACAAATCCACTTTTGGCTGAAGCATCACATTTTCCTCCGATTTAAATTCCTCACACCCCTCGTAAGCTTGTAAAATTTGCTCGAAACAATTTCCTTATAAAATTTTAGTGCACTTTGAGTTTGGGTTTCTTTGTTTGTGTTGATACTATCTAAATTGAGGGCAGGGAGGATCTTTCCTATCACCCAAGCTCATGTAGAAGCCCCAACCTTGACAAAAGCGACAAAATTAGGTCAAAGTAGAAAATTGAAAAATGTGTTTTTGATTTTCTGGCTTAAATGGACTTGTTGGTGCTAGGGACTATATAGCAATTGTTAATTAGAGTAAAAGAAGTGAAATGAGACTTACCAGGGTCAAATCCAAGGTGGAGTATTTTGGGTACGAGAGTTTCGATGAATTCGACAAAATTGCTCGAGTAGGCCAAACCAAGCAACGTACAAAACTTGGCCTACCACCATTTTTCTTCTTTTTTTATGACTAGAAAGAAGAAACATAAGCCAGAACTAAGCAAACAACTTTTACCATAAAAAAATCAGAAAGCGACATTTTTCCGCTAAATTAGTCAAATTTAGAAAAATGCAAATATCTCAGGTTCTATTTGAGCTAGCCAACTTTCCTTTTAGGACTGATAGGTCCTAGTGGTACCTATTGAACCCACAAAGTTTGAACCGAATCCGTGACCCAATCCCAGATTTCGGTCCACCTTGGGGTGGAGTTACTCAATAGTAATGCCAAAATCGAGGGCGTAAACACACGGTAAAAACTCTCCACACAAAAACTCCGTGTTCCGCGTGATACACATAATGCAATTTTGGGTCTTCGACAAAATTTAAGCATTTGAATGCCGTAATGCGTGGTATTACACGTATAATACCACCGTGACCCCTCGGCCGAAATTGGCTACACACTTAAAACCCTACAAAGAACTGCTCGTTGTAATACAAAGAAAACGGAGGCTTCACAGCCTACGAAGGAAATCAATTGTGATACAAGGAAAAAATCCTTCGCAGGCTGCGAAGAAGTTTTTCGTAGGCTACAAAGGATTTTTCCTTTGCAAACAAAATCCTTTGTATTACAAACGATTTCCTTCGAAGGCTGCGAAGCCTCCGTTTTCTTTGTATTACAACGAGCAGTTCTTTGTAGGGTTTTAAGTGTGTAAACAAGTTCATTTTGTTTCTCATCACAAGACAGGGAGAAGTATTTCTCGCCCAAGTTTGGTCAGCACTCACACTCTAAATGTCTTACAATGAAATTTGACCTATGTTATTCGTATGTTACAGTGAATTCGGCGCAAGCATAATACGAAGCAATATTCCTTCGTAATACGAATCTTTTTACCTTTTTCATTGTAAGATACAAAGAAAAGCCTTCGTAGTACGAAGAAAACCCACCTTCGCATTATGCTTGCGCCATTTCCTTCGTATTATGGGAAATTTCTTCGAAAGACATTTAGAGTGCACACCATTCAATCAGTCCCACGCTTACCTCACGCATCTCAGCGCACTCCGCCAGGCGGTCGAGCACGGCGCCGGGCACGGCCTCGAAGGAGTCGTGCTGGTAGTGGCGCAGCGAGGCCGCCGCGCCGCGCAGCAGGTCGGCCACCAGGGCGGGGGGCGCCTCGTCCACGAAGCGGAACGGGTCCTCGGGGTGCATGGCGCTCACCGTGAGGCGGCGCAGCGTCGGCAGCCCGTCCCGCAGCTCCCCCGCGTACGGGTGCTCGTCCAGCCAGTCCAGGTGCAAGTGCTCCAGCCGGCGCAGCCCTGCCACCACCTGCAGGGGCGACCGGCAGTCGCTGTCGAGCTGAGACAGGCAGGAAAGATGCAGGGATCCTTAACTTAACATTTAACTTAACACTGCTTTCATGACGTAACATAAAACAATGTTCGCTGAAGGTTAAGGGCACGGACTTATGAAAGTACTTGCAAAAGAATATCCACACAAATTCGAGACATAAAAAAATAACCTACCCTGAAAAGATGTTATAAGTTAAGGGTAGTAACTTTAACTCTTATGATAACGTTATGATGCCCTTATAAGGTAAGTTAAGGATCCCTGGAAAGATGCATGTTGAACGACTGCACTGGAATCAAATAATTGGCAAAAATCGAACTGGAAGAAGTCCCTCAGTCCGCAAAAATGAAGATATCGCAACCCCGTTTGCGCCAAAATATAGGTAATTGAAGTGGCTATCTCATGAACTACAACCATGAACATCAAGCAATAAAAAGTACAAAATTTTACGAAAAAACCTGTTTTGATCGTTTTTGCAAAATCCTCAGATATTGTTTTTGAGCGTCCGATCCACGCCGTTCTGGGCTCAAAATGCTTCTTTTCGTAAGGTCTGAACTCATCATATGTTTTAACGTAGAACAACGCGTGTGGAAGCAATCGCACAAGTCAGTTTTCGGCCATTTTCAGTGTCTTGCCCCCTTAAGCGACTCGGGAGCTCACAACGCGTAAAGAGTTTTGGCCGCCACCCGCGGTCTCCTGTGCACTGTGTGTTGCTACCCTATGCGCTCACCTCAAACTGGGAATGGTCGTTGATCCAGATGCTGAGCGCACGGAGGTGTTCACGACTGCGCCACAGGAGGTCCAGGACCACGGTGGGATCGGGCAGCAGCCAGACGTACTCCTTGAGGTCGAGGTGGCCGGTGACGACGGCCTTGCTTCGCCCCAGCGCCGACGCCAGCCGGCGATCCCCAAGGCGAGGGTCCAGCACCAGGTTGCGGAGCGCAGGGGCCAGCAGCAGCAGTCGCGCCTGTCGTCACCACCACTCTTAAAAGCCTACGAGGCATTTACTTCATAACTACAAAGAAAATAGAGGCATTGTAGAATTGCTTCGTATTATGAAGAAATGCTTCTTATTATGCTTATAATGTTGTACTCGATGCGCGGGCAGTGACACGTGAAGCTTTCCGCTGCTTCAGTTTGTCGAGTGGCACTGTGGTAAAAAGGTACGGAAAATTCTGTTAATTTTTTTGCCAGGTTTCTCCGTAAGCCTCTTATCAATATTCTCCGTACTGGAAGAGCCTAGGGAGAATATTAACAAGGGGGCTACGGAGAATTACCACAAGCTGTTT